AAAAAAAAAAAGCCAGGAGAAAAGGTATGCAGCTTTACTGTTGTCATTTGTTAAACTGTAATGGTTGTTTTCATATTACAGGGAGTATTTTATCAAGGTAATTAATTATATTAAGGATTTATTCCTCGTTATTTTGCACAATATTTATTTATACTAAAGGAAGTTAAGCAAGAATATAGTGAATTATTCGTGTGACTGGCAGAGTCTGAACTGGTAGTTATACAGATTATTTAGGTGTACTCTGCTCCTGGAGGACTCCTGTATAATGCAATGGAAACTGTGACCCGGAATTGCTGCTATTGTGGGGTGGCCACAAACTATAGCAGTGGTCTTAGCAACAATAAGGCAAAAGAAAGGATAAATAATGCTGAATTATTGCTGAATTAATGCTGAAATGCTGTATTGACAGTGGGGTAATCTGGCCTGGAAAATGTAGTTCTGTTCTAATACTCAGGATTTGACATCTGTGAATTACCCTAGTTTCAAGGATGCATCTTTTGCCCTTTCTTTGAATATTTAGCCAAATTTGTCCAAAACTTTAGGTTTTTTTTCAGTTTTTAGAAACTCCAGTTCATGTTTAGTGAACCAGCAACATGAAAACTCTTTCTATGTCCTTTTTGGAGCACAACATAAATAGTCTTCTGGGTCACACAGGCATATAAATATAAGGGAAGTGTGTGACATCTTTCTACTAGATTCAGAAAACTGCTATGATCCTTTTTTGGCACACAATTTCTAAATGGGGCTGTGGAGTAATTTCAGACTGGCTATTTTAGTAACTCAGACTCCACTTTAAGGGGAGTGTAAATAGTAACTAGACATACCGCAATAAATATTCCACTTGTCCCGTTGAAGCTGTCAATCCAACCCTGCAAAACAGAAGAATGATTACTGCATTGGGATCATGGGGTGCATTGCATGATACCTCAGCCTGTCTGCAATTTACCCATCCACAGCAGAATCTAATTTTGGTTTTAGAAATCACTTCTTTCCTATAATAACTCGGCTGCAGGAATAAACTCTGGCTGTGAAGAGTACAGTGTCTTGGTGCTGTCACAGCTGTTTGGTTACTCCAGCTAATTTCTAAGGCAAGGAAGAACTAAAAAAAAACCCCACACCACTCTACTTTTGAATGGGATCCTAATTCAGGCTGACCACTGGTGGGAGCTGAAGTGAAGAGCAGTGATGAGCTGTCTGACCTGAAAGAGGTTATGACACCTAACAGTGTTTGCTCTGCCTTTAGCAGGCAGGGAGCTTGGCCCAGAGCCTCAGCTATATCTCAGCCATTTTTGGCACACTTCAAGCTGCATGAAAGCCAAAGGTGACTTTCTGTTGCCTTTCCAATTTGGCTGCAGTGCTAGGGGATATTATTTCCACCAGTATAATTAGCTTAGTGAATTATTTCAGTCCCAAACTACACCTGCATTTAGTAACAGTGTGGCTGACGTTTGTATCTCCAACAGGCCCGTGTAAGTGTGAATCCACTGAACTCAATGACTAACATAAGACAGGGACTCTGGGTAGCTGCACATGGCATTATCAAATGCTTTCAAGGACCACGTGAGGTATAAGGTGCTCATCAGAACCTCATTAATAGACTCACTAGGCCATGGAAAGACTCAAAGCAGAATGCATCAGGACTGTGACCAACCCTCAGATCTCAGGTTTCCCCAGATAGTACAGAAACTGCCCTGTGTATCTGTCTGGGTGCAATCCTCTGCTGCCAAGACTGACAAATGTAAGTCCAATGTTTTGCACAATTATTATCCCAGCTCTTGCTATTATTGCTTTAACATCTTCTTTTCACTTGGAGACAAGGCTTTCCTGAAGACACTGAAGAAGGTTTGCTGCTCTACTCCAGCACAGGTCCTGCACCTCTGCCACATGCTTCCCTATGACCTGGAAACACGTTTTGCAAGCAGACACTGCTACAAGCAGGGACAGATTCCTGAATCTACATTTTTTTGGTAGGGAATAGCTATGTATTCATGCTTACTGGGAAAGGCTCATGCCAGCTAGCTCCCACGATGGATGGCCTGATGATAGCTATGTTCAAGTTTCCTTTCTCTTGCTGAATCAGGTATTCTGACAAGGCTTTGGTGTAGGTGTAAGTGTTGGGCCAGGCCCCAAGCAGCTTGGGTGTGATGTCCTGAATGATAGATTCATCCAACCACCTACAGGAAACAAGGAGAATGTCATTATCTGCCATGCAGAGAGAAAAGAATGAGGCAAAAAAGACCGGTGAGACAGGAATCTTCTGAAACAATGGATAAGCAAGTCAAAGCCATTTAAGACAAAGCAAGGGAGCAACTGGTTTGGGTTTAGAACAGCTCTGTGGGAGAAAGGTTACTTTTGTCTTCAAAGGGCAAAACCTCACCCTGGTGAGATTCATGTTACTGTATCCAGCTCAACTTCGAGTATCTGTACAATCTCATTTTAAAGCTATCTCTCCTGTGCTTCATGCTTCACTGCAATCTGTAATGTAAATATAGCCCTCGTCTACAGATTGATGGAGCTTTCCAGCCCAGCACTCTCACTCATCCTTAGCCAGCATATAATCCTCCCAAGTACATTTGAGGAGATTCTTGGTAACCTTGAGTTACTGAGTTGAGTAGCATTACAAAGGTCTCAAAAGCTAGAACAATGTCCTACAGGCACATTATTCCAGTAGCACTATTTACAGTGTTAGATGTTCCTTCCTACTGGTTTTCCATGGGCTTGTTCACAGAGGTATTAGGCAACTGTCAGTGCTAGCTGCATAAAAAAAAAACCCACTCCAACCAGGAAAACAAACAAAAAAACCCCTGAGTATATATATTTTTAAGGTATTCAATTATCTAATCCATCAGAAGTAGTTATGCATATACCTTTTAAAAAGTGGTCCTTACTACCATGATGCTATGGCAAGGACCTAAGGCTCAAAGTCTCTTCCCTGGCACATCATCAAGACCTCAGTGGTCCTGCCAGCATTTTGGTCTAAAGGACAAGAACTGGCTGTACTTCCAGAGCCCTTGCACACCACTGCCAGTCTCTGCCAGGCTTTCAGCAGCCTGGTGTTACTCCACAGAATCAAAGATTAACTCCTATAATCCAATTTGTAATTAAGTCTTCGAGTTCAGACTGAACGGATGCGCTTTTCCAGGGGCATTGCAAGGATACTGTTTCCTGCAGGTCCTCACCTCACCCCCTCCCTATCTTAAATTTCAGAAGCAGGTGGAGGTCAAGGGGAAAGGAATAAGGTGGAGCCTGTCATACCTGGAGAATTACTTGATCATATCAGCTCAAATGCACAAACACCTGATGGCTCAGGTGACAAGCTGCTTTTCAGCTAGCTCTCATTAGACACAGATGGAAATATTACATAGAAACTGCTGCATGAGAAAACACTGATTCACTGAAACTGCCAAACAGTTTGCAGGGAAGGGCTGAATTCAGTGAATCTCTCAGTTGTGGAATGAGTTAAAAAGAATCTAACAGGTTTTAGTATATGGAAATTATTGTTTCAAATAAATAAATTAAAAAAAAAAAAGCCGTATGCAGCCACAAACACTTTTCTTTGCAGCCCTAGTCCCATGCTTCAGAAATGAGGCAGAAAAATTAACCACGAAATAGGAAGGTGAACTGCACAGAGGTTACAAGTAGCACACAATATTGACTTATTTTACAGAGCTTGTTTAGGCAGCCATTGAACCCAACCTCTTCAGGGTCTTAGCAAAACTGCTGTTGTTTGAATCTGTTGAGTAGTTTATCACCAACCTACCAAAAGGAGATGTCTATTCCTGTGGAGGCTGGAAGAAGACCAGGTTCATTTGGGAAGTCAGAATCAGCTGCAGATAAGTCTTTTTTTATTTTTTTTTTTTTCTTCTTTTCTTTAAATAATAGGAGCTTACAGATTAGATATTCTCACAAAGCAAAGACAAGTGTAGAAGTACGAGGAGAAGCAATTTCCTCTTGCCTTAATCCTTCCAGACAAGCCTCTGCATTACTTTAAGTGGTTATCAAGAGGACCCTGCTCCTGCCTGTCTCAAGGGTAACATTCTACCAGGTGATTTGACCTACCAGCATTACCCTCACAGGAGCACTGAGCTGACAGTTCAATGAGGTGAACTGTTCCTACTCCTCTGTGACCTATTTTGAAGATTTTGAAATGCTAAATCACAAAGCTGCTGCTTCTGCTCACTGCTGCCATTGCCCTGGAGAAAGAGATGCAAATTTAAACATGTAGCAACCTCTTCTTTCACCACATACATGCACCAAATTACGCTGCCACAGGAAAACATAACTTCTGTGTTAAGCACTTTGCATTAAATAAGAAACTCTCTTTCTTGTAAGTGATGACAGATCTACATTTTCTGCACTAATAAAAATAGTTCTGCTTCAGTCCACACTTGGTGTGCACTGTGTTCCTTTACCTCAGCACACCTTTCAAAGCTGATTTCCCTCAGCTTTAGATTAAGGCAAACCTTGCTTGATGTGGCAGATTATGTGTTTCCTCTATTGGCCTGGCAGCATTTGCAAGTGTGACTTTTGGTTGACACAGATTAAGCTTAAGGCTTTACTTGCAGGTTAAATATCAAAATACTGGAATGCAGGGCTATAACAGGATAAGAACAGACAAAGAAACAGCTAGAAGTCCTATCTGGCATTTCAGCTGAATAAAGAATCATAAACATTTATCAAGGGCATGACCAAAAGCATCATTAAATGGATCTGTTATTGCATCCAGTTGTGTGATCAGGCCTCTTAATGCACCTGCAGAAAAGCACTTTAAGACAAGGGTTGTTTGTGAAGGAAAGCTTTCACAGCTGGCTGATGCAAAACAGGACCTGTAATTCTCCCCCCTTTTTGCAGGGCTTTTATATTGCCTTGCCTGTTTCCCCCCTCCTGTCTTTTTGCAGGTAACTTTCTGATAGCTGTTAATCTCCTTTCTCTGAAACATTCTGTACCCAGATATCTACATATTATTTCTTCCACTTATATGGTGAGTAAGACAAGGTGCATCTCTCCCATCACCTTCCAACCCTACTTTGTCTTCCACCTCCCTCCAGGTAATCCTCTGCTCTCCACAGCCTCTCAGAGTTTTCTCTATCTCATTCTGCCTGTGTCCCCCCAGCATCCCAGGGACTTTATCCATCCTGCAGCCCTAGGCAACTCTTTCATATATTGCCCTTGATTTGCAGAACACCTCCCAAACCAATGACCCTGGAGACAGTGACTTTCAACGAGGCCCACATGATTTCAATGCACCTGAAAGCAATAGTTATCTTTGCTGCCAACAATTATAATGCTACCTGCAAATACTCTAAAGAAACAGATGCCATCCTAGCTAAGGGCATGCTGGGATTTGTAGCTCACTAAAAGTACTGGAAGATGGTGAACTTCTGGAGTAGAGGACACAGGAAAAACATTAAAACAAGCAGAAAAATGTAGTAAAAAAAAAAATAAATCTCTGATTATGTGGCTAAGAAAAAAACAACCATATTACTAAGATAAATACATCAAAGAACACCTCTGAAAGCCCATCCTCTGTCACTCAACCTTTCTTTCAAACATTATCCTCTCTGCTGTACATGCAACTGATGATAAATAAATTGCTAGGGTCTTATATGAAGCAACTTTATATAAATGTCTTACATATATCAACCCCTGGGGTAGCCAGGCACTTCTGCAGATTTCTGATGAGTGTTCAGTCCTTTGCTGGAGTCTTTTTGATCTAGGTCAGCAACATTAACTGTCTCTGAAGTTGCAAGTGACTGCAGGCTTTTTGGGGCAATTAAATGTAACACTGATACCAATGAACTCCAAAGGAGTTGGTGGGCAAAAAGGTGGCACATTAGCTTCAGTGTAAATAAAAGTAAGGTAATCCATTTAGGGAAAAGCAGTCTGAACTTGTCTTAGAGGTTGCTGAACTCAGAACTGGCAGTTGCAGCTCAGCAAGAGCTCCTGGAAGCACTGCTGAGAGCTCTATGACGTCCTCAAGTCAATGAGTAGCAGAAGACAAAAAAATTCCATGAAATTAAAACAATTTTTCTATATGAACTCTCACTGGTTCTCTTGCTGGACATTAATCCATCTCATCTCCTACTACCCTAAATCAAGGAGAAGAAAAACTTTACATCAGCTCTTTGGGTTACTAGGTCACAGGCCAGTTGCTTGTATCACACAAGTGGAATACCACCAGAAAATAAAGGAAAATAAAGTTACAGCTGTGGGAAAATTCTTCTAAGGGGAAAGTGTCTTGGTGCCTTTGTCAGCAGATTTTGTTATTCTCTCTTACCATTCTTCATTTTGGCAAATTCAGGTAAACCAGCCTGCTTTGTGTTCCCTCCAAGTCCTGGACATCCACACTGAACTCTTTCTGAAACACCCTGTTTCTAACTCATCCCCATATAACTCTGCTTTAATACCACAAAATTGTTGAAATAAGTAGAAACAATGTTGGGAGGCTGTAGAGATAAATAAGTGAATATAAGGTACATGAAAAATTTCAGTTCTTACTAAGGTAGCAACAGAGCTGAGCCTTACAGAAAGAAGCATCCCAACTCCACTCCTGATAGCAAATACACTTGTGCATGACTTACTCAGTGCTGGATTCTTACCAAACCACAGTCTTTTTTAAAATGGTGCATGGAAAAATTTACAGGTAGCTGAAAACACAGGGTTCTTAAGTGCTGTTTATGCTATTTTCTAATAGTTTTGTATTTGGAAAAGTATTGCTAAGCTCAGCCAAATGTTCATAACGCGTGACTTCAGCAGCTCTCCAGATAAAAAGGCTTCAAAATAGAATCCCTCTTTATTCTAGTTTCATAAAACCTCAGCCAAGCTAGTTTGAAGAGAAAATCCAGAAAGGACAGACTTGCTAGATGGCATTCTGTGGAAAGTTCTCCTCAAAACCACCTAGAATAAAAGCTCTATTTACCCTTGGTCTCACTCCATTACGGGCACATCATACTCACTTTTATGGCCAGCATATCTTGCTGGCATGGTGCACACAACAATAACAGCAACTGTGACCAGAAATCCCACAGGACAGCTTATAGGAACACTCCAGAAGCCTTCTGCAGAATGAAGCAAAACCAACCTGGGAAGAGGCGACGCAGTTCCTACTTACTCTACTAAATCAAAGAGCTTCTTGGGCTCGGCTGGGGGTGGGTAGATGACCTCGTCGATGCACTTGCGTACACAGTTGGCATATGCAGTGGAGATGTGGATGAAGGCCTCAAGGTTCTGCATCTGCCTGGCCAGCTCCAGCAGCCTCTGCGTGCCCAGCGCGTTCAGCTGCAGGGCGTGCCTAAAGACAGGAGGGGAAAGGAACAAAATGCACTTCACTGGAAAGAATATATCAAAGCGGAGCATTGTCCAAACCCCAAATAAGGAAAAAGCAAGTGAGGGAAGAAAAGGGGTCACAGCAGAGCAGCAAGCTTCACTGAAATGCAAGGGCTAAACCAGCTTTCAGAGCAATGGGTTTGGATTTGCTGTTCTGGCCATGGAATCTCTCTCCTGTTTTTAATCAATCCAAAGATTCAGAGGTTGTGTTTTACTAACCTCTCTAGATCTGACATATTTGGCACCCCTTCCTGGAACAAATATTTCTAGCACACATGACCACTGAGGCATTATGGTTCCTACAGTACCCATTCATCTTTCTCTTTAAGGAGCCACTGCTAAAGCAGATAAACACATGGTTTCAATAAGCAGCAAAGGGTCCTTGGGCCCATAAAAAGATTCATACTGAAGGAAGACACAGAGATAAGTGCTTAAGTTCCAAAGGACTGGAGAACTGATAATGAGAAAAAAGAGCTCTGGTGAGCAAGGTTGATCTCGAAGCACCCAGCATAGGTGGAAGTTGTCCTAGAGACTCTCCACAGTGGATCTCAGTGAACAGATACTCAACTTTGCTGTACACTTTGTGCTGGAAGAAAGGCTTCCCTGCACAGAAGGGAGAAGGCCAAGGAATACACAAGCTGTTCAGCCCAGGAGCAGAGGCTTTCAGCAACACACACACAATTACGAATAATGCTATCAAGTACAGTGCACACTAAGGAAATTAATTACACTAATGCTAAAGAGAAATTGTAAATAGTCCAGATGAATGGCATCAAAAGCTAAGAATATGACTCACGTTTGGATCACAATATCTAAAGCCAGAGATATTTATTTTTTTTTAGCATGCTGCTATTAGAATATAGCATTTTCTATAGATTTCTATTTCCTCCTGCCCTTCTAGCAGGATGAATACGTGTACTTAGAGCCACCCTTCATATGAAAGTTACCCTTCAATATACATTTTTGTTTAACTCTATGCCTTCTGAGAGGGGGTGAACAGGATTGTGCTCAGAATACAGGCCCAGCAAGGATTTCTGCTGAGGTTTTCACAATTCCTTTAGTGTTCGAGGGGAATGTCACCTAACCCTGGTGATGTCTCTGCTCTTTATTTTTTTTCTATTTATATTAGAACTGTATCTAGTAATATTTCAGTATAACAGAGCTACTCAGATTTCTGCCCTCAAGATTTCCATCTGGAGAACTCCCTAAAATGTACTGCACGTTGATGCCAATAACTGATTCATTTTCTCTGCTGCTGCTTTTCCAGTATCTTGATAGCATGTTTTTGTGACTCCCTTATCTATCAGCTCTTGCATATTCTACAGTAGCTTTGGACTTCTGTCATGTTTAAAATTTGTGCGTGTTGTTAGCAAGTTGCTGCTCAAAATTCTTATTTGAGCAATGCTGTACTTTCCCATTTAACTTTAGAGCTTTTATCCATCTGAAATATTTTATTGTTCAGACAGGAATAATTTGTTTTCAACAACTTCTCATATCTTGCCAGGTAATCATACTGGATTTTCCTTGTTCTGTTAGGTTTTGACAGATCACGTGCAATCAGCCTTTGAGTACTTTCCACATTGCCTGGAAGCCAATGACCACTTTAATATTTTTTTTCTAGCTATCCTCTTTATCAAAACATCATTTCCCTTTGATGTTACAAGCCACAGCAACCTATTTTCATAGTGTGTTAATTTGTGCATTGATTTAAGATCATTTATGGCTATTAATGCAGTGCAGTCCTTTGCTACTTGTATCTTGAGCCAGGGTGTTCTCTAATTAGTTGTTGCAAAAAGCAATTTATTTATGGTGGACACAGTGGCTATCTGTTTAGCCTATGTATGAGCAATGAAGACTGATATTAATAATTGCATTTTCTACTCTCACAAACTCAGTGTTTGGTATTTTAAAGTTTGTGATAGGCTATTTTCTTAAACAACACCTCCTTTCTCTCTCCAGTGACTCAGTGACAAAGGAAGGCCATTAACACTTGCTTGAGAGACAGACACAACATAGTTTCACTTCAAGCTGTCTCCTGCTACTTCTTCCACAACATGTCCCTCTTGACCTAAAACACAGTTTTCCCTCTCCTGATTGTAGGTCATACTTAACTCCCTTACCACACAACACAAGCTTGCAGTACATCCTTCTGTTCCCATGGAAATCTGCCAAGACACTTCCCTTTTGACGTGCATATGCACATGACATTTTCAGAGCATTCACATCTCACGTTCAGTGCAGAACCACGTGTAGCAGGAAAACTTAAGTGGAGATTTATTCCTCCAGCTACACAAGAGATGCACTGAACGGTGTGTTAGGGGCTGTTGTGCACCCTGGAGCATGCTCAGTAAATACAGAGAGCAGGACATACTTCAGGGGTTCATCAAAGCGGACTGTGGCTGCACAGTGGAAGACAACATTGACGTGGGTCAGGAGCTCCTCTTCATCTTCAGCACTGATGGCCAGCTTGGGCTGGGTGAGTTCGGCATTAATAGGCTTAATCTTCTCATGGAAATTAGGGCAATCTTCTCGGACCCTGTCGAAGACCTTGAAGCACAAACAGAGAGAGATCAGGTACAGAATTAGGCTGCTGAGATTGCTTTGATTAGTCGCCAGTCTGATGACATCAATCAATGAAATTGGCACAGGAGAAAGCCTGGTTCTTCCAGAGGGAGGACAATGGGTGAGGTGATAAAATAGTTAATTCACTTGTTCCCTCCCACAGGAACACCTCACAGGGGAAACAGCACAAAAACATAGGAGGTGATGCACTGTCCTGAAGAGAGGAATCGATCTCTGTACCACTTGTTTCCTGGGAGAGTCACTGAAATTCCTGTATCTCCACAGCTCCTGCAACCACTTGTTATTTGACCTCAAAGGCTGCCTGTAGCACTGTAACAGGGGCTAAAGAGGAGGAGGGCAGATTATGGGGTGGGAAAGCCTGTGAAGCATTTGACTCAAGCAATTTTCTTGATGCTTCTACAAAGGACCTGAAGAGAGGAAGGGGATAGGGCACATTCTGGCTCCTCCTCTTCCTATGTTGCTCCCTGTGTACTGTCAGTCTTTGTGTATGTCAGAGGAGGCCTGTGAGGAGATGCCTTTGGAATGGAAAGATGGAGAATCCCATAACCTACAGTGCAAAAGCTGTTGACTGCACCAGTGATTTTGCATGACTGGACAAGTGTGTAGCTAGCTGGCCTCTCAAACTGTCCTCCAGCCCTTTAATTTTTTTCCATGAGGATTATCCATAGCTCTTTCCAATATATATTTTCTGTCCAGTCTTGTGCAGAATGATAAGACTGTGCATTTGTCCACTAAAAAGACCCCTACATTTTCATATACTGTTCTGTCTGATGAGTTGTTCAAAACCAGCTCCTGACCAGAGAATCATAGAATGTCTGGGCTGGAAGGGACCTCCAAAGGTCATCTAGTCCAACCCTCCTGCCATAAGCAGGGACATCTCCAACTAGATCAAGCTACTCAGAGCTTCATCTAGCCTGATCTTGAATGTCCCCAGGGATGGGGCCTCCAATGATGACCTGCTTTGCCTAAGATCCAAGGCAGCATGTACCCTGAACAGCAAGACAACTGTGCACAAACCTGAAAGGAAAAGGAGATCAATACTACCATCACCTGAAAGGTGCCTATGTGAAAACAGCAGTTTCCTCAGTTTCCATTTTTACTCAGTGGGTAGCTCAGAGTCCCTGATAGCAGCACAGCAGGTCTGGGTGCAGTTCTGCTTCTGCCCTGAAAGCAGATGGCTACTGCAGGTTCTACCTGGGGACCTTTTATTTGGCAAAGCTCACAGACAAAGAAGATGAAGCCTGAATTTTAAAAAAAATGATGTGAATTTGCTAGAGTAGGACTTGAAAAAAACATCTTAAGTTTTAGAAGCATCTGTTCCAAGGGTCAGAGTGACAACAAGAAGGGTAGAAAGCATCAACAGAATAGAGAGAGGGGGGCTGTGAGCTCTGACAAGGTGTAATCTAGATTTCAAAGGATAACCACACTTCAAAGGTAACTAGCTCACTGACAGGAAGGACTAAGCACTGGGACAGATTGCTGGTGGCCCCTGTGGGCCACTGCTTTTGGATGCATTTAAGAACTGCCTAAGCATTGCCAGGAAAGGCAGGGAATAGCTGAACCCGCCTTGGGGCAGAGGGATGGGCCAGCTGGCTTCTCAGTAGCTCTGTTTTTTGGGTGTTTCCTCCAGCCTGTAGCTTACTTACTAGTAGCATTGAGTTTGTAAATCTCTTTACTATCATGGCCTCTTGTTTTCTTAGAGATTGTTCTGTCTCTGATTTGCCCAGTGCTTATGTAAGAGTGGAAACTGCATGACATCTATTAGAGCTACTAAAAGACATATGAAAGATTCAATTGATACCAGCAGCAATATTTTCTTGTTTAACTAAGGCTTTGCTGTCTTTTGCTTTCTCTGACAACCAAATCTAAATAAGCTTCGATGTTCTTAGGGATAAAGAAGTGATAAGAAAATCATCAGGCTTCCCCCACTGTGCAGCACACTGTGTTCGACTTAATGTATTTTCCTTTAACACATAGCTGCACATCCTTCTTTAACTTGAAATTTAAGCAAATTAACAGAAGTTAGGAGATGATACTGTAATCTCATTTCTCTTAGTTGCACCCAACTACATGCATGTTTTGGTAATATAGTCTAGGCCAGAGAATAGATTTCTAGACAGAAGAAGCTAATAATTGTACAGAGATGTTGGTGAGAGCCAAGTGGACTGTAGGAACTCAATTCCCAATGACTCATGCTCAGAACTGGGTACTTTTACTCTTTTACTCGTATTATTTACAGCATAAATATCTGTAAGAAGCTTGTCTTGCAGCGGATGCAAGATAGGCAGTCCAAATATGCATCATCTCATGAGAGACTGCACATGAGTAAACCCTGATGAGATGAAAAATGGGAAGGTTTCTCAGAGAACCCATGTAAGACCAAAGCTATCTTGCATGAGTTTCAGGAACAATGCTGAATTTGTTTGTTCTGTCACAAAGAGAGTATAAAACTCCACCCAACGAGTTATTTCATACTTGTTTTACTTTGGCATAAATAATGCAAAGTAGTGAAAGAATGAATCAGCCCTTTCTCCATTCCAGTCACGGCACAGAAAACGAGGAGCACGATTTTTGCAGTGCCAGCCTTGCTCCAATTTGGAAAGTTATATTTTGCCTACATGCCCTCTCCTCCTGATGTTCCCACTGCAGGTGATATCCCCTCTGGTTTCTGTGCCTACTGCTACCACACACCACTCCACAGCTGTAGGTGTTCAGCCCCTCCAATGCTTCACTGCAGTGCTCTGAAGGATGAAGGCGATTTCTGAATGCAAGCTCACAAATCAGCACGCTGCTTTGGAGATCACAGAACACTCAGTTCATCAGCACCATTAAATCAGATCACAGGAGCAGCTGTTTAATCAAAGTCTGCTGCCTCTTATATGGAATCTGAAGGTTTCAGACTTGTCAATGCTTTATGGGGAAGTGCAGGAAGATTTAAAGACAAGTGCTGCTTATTCTATACTCTTTCCTCTAGTTCAAGGAGTGCTTAGCAATGATGATGCTTAGTCTGCAGGCAAACAATAATTGCATCTCTAAATTCTGATTAACCTCCCCAAGAGCATATATAGTCTCAAATAGCTGCATGGGGCCTAAGGATTGTTCTGCCTTTTCTTTTTAGAAGCCATCTGCCAACACAAAATATACTGAATGGCCAGAAGTGGGCTGGCATGTTGTACTGTTGGAACTGCATGAAAGCACTGGCCAAGTTAGCAATACTCCAGAAGTGACACGTGAATTACTACAGAATTGTACTGAAGAGAAAGGAAATATGTTTGATTTCAAGTTGTCCAATACTAGTTAAGCAGAGGGAAAGCAGTAATAATGCACCCGACTTTCAGTGTCTTTTTGAAACAGAATAAAATGAACCTAACAGTTGTTATTCTCATTTTAAACCTCAAAATAGGATGCAAGTCCTGCATAGGTTGTGCTGCCTCTCAACAGAAGTGAGAATTTCACTCTGAAATATTCAGATTTTTTAGTTTTATGATCAGTCAATTCCCATTCATAATAATAATCTAATCTCTGTGATTTTAATTTACACTGTCAAGCACTTATGAAAACAGAACACCTGTAATTTCTCTCAGGATTTTGAGTGTGTTTGATGGGCTTATCTTTCTCTGTTCCTGCCAACTTAAGCTTTGACTTCCCTTCCCAAAGGACATCTGTAAGTCTCTGTGTTCTCTACTCTTGCCTTAAACCATGTAATAGTTCAGAAAGATTTCTGCCCATCAATCTTTCAATCAGAAATTTTTCCATACCACAAAGACACAAAAACCTCAAAGAAAGGGCAAATTGCACATCTATGGAACAGCGTGGCTGAAAAATGAAGGGAGCACTGAACATAAAATGCCAAAGGCTTTGCTTCTTTCTCAAGAGACATTTTCAGTGAAGCAAATAGAAAATAATGAAAAGTAAAGTCTGCTTTTCAAAAGGAACTTGCATGAATTTGGTCTTATAACTACTTCTCAAAGAAGGTAGTGCTTCCTTTTTTGCACTATCTGTCCTCACCCCTAAAAAGCCAACTCACTGTAACAGGCACCATGCAGGATGGCACTTCACTGAGAAACAGGTAGAAGAGAAAGTAGGACTCCTGTTTCACCTCCCTGGAGGTGTTTAAGGCTGGGCTGGATGAGGCCTTGAGCAACCTGGTCTACTTGAGAGGTGTCCCTGCCCATGGCAGGGACGTTGGATGAGATGATCTCTAGGGTCCCTTACAATCATTCTATGAGTCTGTGATGTTTGCCTGGTGATGTTATCTAACACTATGTCCTGTGCTCTCCTCTGATGTGAAGGATTCATCTTCCAAAGTCCTGAATAAGCATCTCCCAGCAATGCAAGCCGTGATGAAAATGGGCTAGTGCTCTTCATCACATTATCAGTGGAGTCTGTAACTCACTGTAGCTCCTTTCTGCAACAAGCTGCATTTCAGCCATAGCACTCACAGCTCTCTATCTGGCTAGAACAAGGCCAAATGCTTTGGGGGATGACCCAGCAACCATCAAGTTTTAAGTGTGGTCTAGAAAAGTAACCATTTTTCCTCCTGTGGTACAATACCAATCATCAACTGACGCATCCAAATTACACTATTTTAACAGATATTGCTAGTTTTTACTTTTTTAAGATAAAAACCAAACCCTCCCCTGCTGGGCAGTGTGGCCAGGCATATTTAATAGGCACTGGGATATTAGGCTTCTCTAGAAGGAGCAGCAAAAGATGGTAACTTACATTATAGTATGCACGTTTGAAGGCATTACTGTATGAGAACATTTAAAATGGAGAAAAATCAGAGAATTCCCACAAAATGTATTTAATATATGAGGAACTGCTGAGAAGTTTAAAGTTGAGAGTTCAATTTAAAAAAAAAAGGCAAAAAAGCTTCCATCCTTTCAGAAAAGGAACTGCTTAGCATAATTCAGGAGAATAAAATCATTAATTACTTTTGTCAAGGAAATTTAATTTATTCC